AAAAATCGCTTATAAAAATAGACTTTTACCATTCAACACATATTCGCAAATCGTGAACCGTTTCAAATTTAGCCGCAAATTTCACGAGAACCTAATACTAATTATTTTTCACAAAGCTCAGTTTGAACAGAAAACGTATAAGTGTAGTAACAAATTGTGTAATACACGCAAAACGAGTTAATTTTTTAAATTGTGTTAATTTTAATAATACGTAACTATTTTACTTCTAAATCAGTACATATTATACGGTTTGATGTTTTGAAATTAAGTATAGAGTCAATTATTTTTGCAGGTAAGACGTCTGAGACTTGAGGCGCTAAGTTTAAAATTATGAATAAACACCATCAAGTTTATTTTAATATTTAAATAGTAATGAAATGAAGATGTGGAACAGACATAAGTATTATGATTACCATATAGCTTATGTAATTATTACGCGTTTGCTTAGTGTGTGTATTGATATTTTGGTGTTAAAGTAGATATTTGAATTCGTAAATATGGCGATATCTATCTACCTATATATAAATAATTTATTACTAAATATAAATATAAATGTGAAAATAAAAATCTTCTTTGCCACGAATGTTATCTGAAACTACTCAACCGATTATCTTGATTTTTTTGATTAACATCGAGTTATTAATTTTTAAAACAATTGGCAAATATGCATAATATAGAGATATTTATTTTTTTCAGCCATGTTACCAATAATTAGTTATTTTTAAAAATTAATATTTTAGTGAATAGTTAATACTTAATATATATAAAAAAAAAACAAAAATGAACAGTAAAAAAAAGTTCGTTGTTTTTGGTTTACACTATTGAAATCATGAGTTGTTGGTTTTTGGTTCAGAATTAAAAGGAAATAAAATTTGGATGGTTAAACAAAAATAAAATGAAAAATGCTGCTGTTAAATGGTCAAAAGAAAAAATAATGTTGGGCGGGACAGCTGTATAAATTTGATATGTCAGAAATAGCATTTATACACTAAATCAGAATACCAAAATATTATTTTTTCATTCTCGTTACGCTAAATGTTAGCATTAGGCTACCAAAATTAACATGGATGAATTTTGTACAAGCAACGCAGTGTTCGGGAATATAGCTAGTACGATATATTTATGAGTTTATAGAACATGGTTATAATGTATGTCTACTTTTTAAAGTGTCATATGTATATCTGTTACATAAAAAGTCCGAAATTGTACATTTCGCAATTTGTACAGTGATTTTTGTACACATTGCGAAGTGTACAATGTTGCTGTACAAAGTAACTAGATTGTACAAGTTGCGTTATACAATTCGCGATGTGTACAATAATCACTGTACAAATTCCGAAGTGTACAATTGTTGTACAAATCACAAAACTTTGTATGTAACATATTGATACTTAAATAGCTAGTTTAAAAAGACTGAGTAATAATTTAGATATAGATTTTATTTTTAAGATTTGTGACATATTATTGTATATACACGTACAATAATTCGTGCGATTTATGATGATATGTGTTTGCATTTATTTATGAGACATACAATTGTCAGTGGCGTAACTACATGGTTGCATAAGTGTGCATTGCACCGGGGCCCGGAGCCTAGACGGTCCAAAAGGGGGCCCTAGAATTTTAATATTTTGTTTAAAATATATTAAAATTTTATATTTTGTTAATAATTTTAAACTATTTTATAATAAATAATATACTTCGATAAAACCATAAACTTTTATATTACGAAGAGTATAAAAATACATATTATTATGTCATTTATTTCATGTATAAATATAATTTAATTAATTATGATGTATTTTATGAATTATAAATATTATAATACATAATATAATATATATATATATATATATGTATATATAATTGTCTAATTTTATTTATATAATGATTTTTAGGGGCCCATAAAATAATATTGCACATGGGCTAGAATTTTATAGTTACGCCACTGCATATTGTAAATAGATTTTTACCTTTGATATAAGCTATATTAATTGAGTGAATTAATAATTAGTATTCGTATATTGAATTAATAGCAGCTGTAGATTAATTTATGGAAACAAATACAAAAAAAAAGAGGTAGCATACCTGCGTAGGGAGTTGTAATCAGTTTCGACTGGGTTGGGTTAAGATCTTGTAGGCATTCAAGTTGTTAGATAAGAAAAGTTTAAATAAAGAATATTTGTTTTCACGTTTGGACGTCATGATCATTCTTCACAGATCGATAAATCGATCAACACCGATCACCCTGGGAGACGTGTTGTTAATTTAATGGTTAAAAGCTTTTAAAGCAATGTTATTTCTGAAGAGTAAGTAGTATTTTGATATGGTCGATTCGATGAGGAATTGAAAATGTTATCTGATTGCTTAGGTATATATTATACATATTTATATATAAGTATAACATGTGTGAAAATAACTAAACATTACTGAGTAAAAATAATAATCGAATTTATAAATAAAATGATCAATTAAAATGTTTGTATACTTTTTACTAAATATTTAATCATTAAGTATAAAGTAAATATATAATACCATTGATCATAAATACTAGTATTTAATAGTATTTATAATCAATGATAATCAGTGGCGGACTGGGAGAAAAAAACAGCCCGGGAAAATCATAATTTTAGAGGCCCTCAGTATACTAACGGCCCTATATATAATATATATATTTTTTTATGTAAAAACAATTTTACTATACATTTTTTTAAATATTTTGATTAATTGATATAAAACAAAATAAAATAACTATTATACATTTAAAATTTATTAGAGTATATCTCAAGTAATTGTTATGTATATAAAAATAAATAATAATAATAAAATAATATAATTTATAATATATATATATTACTACAATCAATTTGATTTTAGTAAGAAAGTTTATTATTTAATAAATCACTTTTAGTTTTTAACATATTAATAATATCATCATTAACAATACTAAATAAAACATTTTTTTCGACTGCCATCATCATAAATGCGTCCAATTTATCTTCACCCATTGAATTTCTCAGGCGAGTTTTAATTATTTTCAACAGAGAAAATGATCTTTCGCATGCTACCTATATTAATAATTTTAATGAAAATTCTGTTAGATCTTTCAAATAAAATACATACAAATTATTGATATATTCCAACTGTTTACTTACTTGAGTACACGGCAATGTCAATAAGTATTGATAAGCCATGGTCAAGCAATGATATGCATTACTATATAAATTATATTTTATAAGAACATTATAGCAGCATACAACACAATTCTTGCAGGATTTACATTCTAATTTATCAGTGTTATTTTTCTCATTATTTTCTTCAATTTCATTTTCACTTTCAATTTCATTTAATTGCATATCAAATGATTCTGGTAATGATTTTTTT